ATGATCAAATTCAGATCTGACCAACAAGGGGGTGTGAATAATTCACTACTAAACTCCTTCAAGAGCTAGTGAATGTCATTTTAGGGTTGCTTAGTTATTTGTCTTCGTTTATTTATTTAATTTTCGTTTATTCTTTTAGAATGAACATTCTCGTAACTTTATTAGACATTCTAAAGTATTGTGTAAAGAATATAAACCCTAACTCTATTATTTTATTTTCGTATTTAATTTATGATTTTATTTTTATTTAAGTTCCGGACCTTTACATATTTTATGTGTGTGTCTTTGTATTTAATTATTCATAAAAATTAAGATCTTAGATAATAAATAAGTGAATTATAAATGAGAGAGATTTATAAATAGTGTAGAGTGTAAGGACCTTGGATACCTACTCGTTGAGTCTATATCGAAGAATGAAGGATATGTGTGCGGATGAAGTTCAGCAGGTATAGTGAACCTTCACATGGATAGAGTTTGAAACCTAGTCCAGATGTGGATATGTACTTGTGAGTGCGAGTCACCTAGTAAACGTAATTTATGTGACCATTATGAAATTTATGCGTGTGTGTTATCCATGAGATGGGGGGATCTATTTCGCCTCTCATCGACGACGATATAAACAGTATCACATGATGAAATTTTATATATGATATTTCGAGTGTATTGTGATATTTTGAGTGTGAGTGTGATTTGAAAAGAGAACAATAATTATGTTATAAAAATGAGGATTATAATATTTAGTGAAGATACATGTTTGTATTGTAATATGTGTGTACCTATATTATGCATATGAAATGTATAACTAATGTGTGTATGTGTGGAATTTGGGTACACTGCACTTAGCGTGTGATATGGTACAAATGTACAATGCACTATACTTGCTGTGTGATCTAATATAATTGCGGGAGAAATCTAAATATCTTGTGCTTGCTATGTGATCTGGTACATGATGATTCAGAAAGTGGTTTAAAACGTATAGCTCTGATATACGTGATGATATTGTGTATTTTATTTGTGTATTTGTGTTTAATTATGCATGAAAATTAAGATCTTATGTAGGAAATAAATGAATTAGAAATGAGATAGATTTGAAAAGAGTGTAGAGTGTAAAGACTCTGAATATTTACTCGTTTAATCTGTATTTAGGAGGGAAATGTGCATGTGTGGCTGAAGTTCAGCAAGTATGGTGAACCTGCATATGGATAGAGTTTGAAACTTAGTTCAGACGTAGAGAGGTATTTACGAGTGTGGGTCACTTAGCAAACGTAACTGTTGTGGTCATTGTGAAATTTATGTATGCATGCCATCGATGCGATGGGAGATTCATTTCACCTCTATTCGACGATGATATAAACGGCATCGCGCGATAAAACCTTAGATGTAATATTCCGAATGTATTTTGATATTTCGAGTGTAAATATGATTTGAAAGAAGAATAAGAATTAGGTTAAAAAAATGAGGATTAGAATGTGTTCCATGTAATGGTTTATTTTGTTGTGTATTTTAACTGAGATATTTTGTTTGACTTTTTTTATTATAAATATTATTATATTTTACATATTGCGTGAATGTATGTATGTAAATCTCAATTATATAATCTTTTTTCTTACTGACATTGTAAAACTCACTCCAATTCATCCCATCCAAGTAAGAGGAAGTCAAATATCAAATGAATATGACGAATAAAACTTTGTTAGTTTATATTTTAAATTTATAAATTAATTTAGATTCTTCAATTATGTGCAAACAAATAATTATCCAGTTACAAGTGATGTGTATTAAAGTGTAGTTCCACAACATGTTTAATATTTATCTGTTCCACTAGTTGAAAATATTGTACTAATGTCCATATCTATTAACATTGGGGTTTGGGATGTTACACTAATATTTTTTTATTATAATTTAATTTCTAACGTATTTTATTTATTTAAATATTAATTTTTTAATTTTATGAAAAATTAAAACAATTAAACTATGTTGCAATGTTTAAAAAATTAATCTAAAAATATATTTTTATTTATTAACTAAATTATAATATATGTTATTTAAACGTATTTCCTATCTTTCCCCTCTTTGTTCAGGCGTCAGTCCTCCCCGCCCACAATTTGGGCAGCTCTTCAAGCCAAATCCTTGACAGTTGAAGCACCTGAAATTTAATTTGTTTCAGCGAAATGTTATTTAATTGTAATTATGTCTTCATAATGTAAAATTTAACTAAATAAGAAAACTCACTTCCAACGTTCAAAGATATTTCCATTTTTTTTATTCTTTCCCGTCCCCTGGAAAATAAAAATAATAATTTTATTACACTGCACGAAGCATTAAGAGGAAATTTTATGTGTTGTATTCCTAATTAATATTATATAAGATTTTTGTTCAGCCTGATAATATTTTGGCTAATTTCAATTTATAGCTATCAGTAATATGAACTATTAAATTTATAATTATTAATCTGATTATCAATTTAAAAGGGCATACACAAATTTACAAACTAAGAATATAAATTAGGGAAAAAAAGTTGACAATGTGTTTTTTCAAATTTTCGTTTAATTTGTAGTTAATTTTAAGTGCTTTAATTGTTAATTAAATACATATGATTAAAAGAATTCGTAGGACGTGAGTTTGAGGGTTTATTGAAATGTAATTTACACGCTCAATATGTTTTCATATTTCTAA